GCAATATCCTACCTAGGTCGGCTTCAAAAAAGTGAATGACGTTGGCGCTATGTCGCGGCTTCTTGGGGGGTCGCTCCTCACCCCGGCTTTCCCCCCACCTTTATTGCTTGTGAAACTTTTTGCAACTCGGCACGGAACGAGTTATACGTTAGTCTTTCCACGGTACAAGCATGTATGGCATCAATCATGGGTGCCACTTCATTAGATGCCTTGGTCGCTCTCCTTGCCGAGCCCCTCTATCGATGAATTCTCCCAATGTCTATTTCAAACCAGCTGTTCGAGGAAGGATTTATATACCCTACAATCTTATGTCAAATGTCCGATATCCTTATAATAAGAACACCAGGATATTGAATCTCTCATCGACGGGTCTCCTTGTATCCTGGGGGGCCATTTAAAGTAGGGCTTGTCTTTTATCTTATTTAGCATCTTGTAAATGGGCTCTTTAAAGACCGTGTTCAACCCCTAGAAAGATAAGCGATTCGGGGGGTGGGACGAGTGCCCCCCTCCGAGCTGATGGTTCCCCTCTCCCTCTTCCTTGGCATGGAGGCCCTATTCTCAGGCGTGCTAGATTCTTCCTCCACCCGGGCGCATTTANCGAGCTGATGGTTCCCCTCTCCCTCTTCCTTGGCATGGAGGCCCTATTCTCAGGCGTGCTAGATTCTTCCTCCACCCGGGCGTATTTGTTTATCCGGGTCATCAAGTCTTTCATATCCCCTGGAGCCCTCTTAGTAAGTAATTTGTAGAGATCGGTATCCCAGGTCAACCTCAGCCTAAATGATGTTGTGGCCATGGTCTCTGAGCACGCCTTGACTTCATTAATCTCCTCCCAATACCGGATGACATACTGCCGAAGGGACACTACACCTTTTCATCGAAGCGTTAGTAAAGTGCCGATATCCTTCGGCTTCTTACTAGTGGTGATGAATCGAGTTGTAAAAAGTTCAGTCAACTATTTCTTGGAGCTGATGCTCTCGAGGGCCAAGCTCTCATACCATTTCATGGTTGTGTCCCCCAAGCTCATGGGAAAAACTCGGCATAGCACCCTCTGATCGGTGTCGTAGATGAACATCAACTGTTTGTACTACCGCAAGTGTCCCTTGGGGTCTGTCCTTCCATCGTAGACTTTGAACCGTGGGACAGTGAACTTTTTTGCCATTTCGGTCTCCCTGAAAGCTCGAACGAATGGGGAAATGATTTCCTTGTCTACATCTCCCTTGGGCTCGAGCTTGCGACGTGCGTCATGGAGGCGTACTCGGGGATTCCCTCGGGGCCTCCCTTCTCTTGACCCCCTGGCCGTGGATTCCGCTTGGGATTCGGCTGCCTTAATGTCCCCTAGTATCCCACAGCGGAGGTCTCACCGAGATAGACTCGCCTTTGTAGCCCCATTCTGATTTCTCCTCGGAGCTCACCTCCAGCTTTGATGGTCACGCTTGTCGGGCGTGCGCTCATGCAGGTCCCTCCCGGGAGTCTTTCGTCTGGCACCCCCGTAGTCTTGACTGAGACTATGGTCCTCCCACTCGCGACTCCATCTACTCGCACTCACCGACTNCTCTTGACATCAAACTTGTCGACCCGCAAGGTGATCACCAATGCATCTTCATGGGGAAGGACTATCCTACCTAGGTCGGCTTCAAAAAATTGAATGACCTTGGCGCTATGTCGCGGCTTCTTGGGGGGTCGCTCCTCACCCCTGCTTTCCCCCCACCTTTATTGCTTGTGAAACTTTTTGCAACTCGGCGCAGAACGAGTTATACGTTGGTATTTCCACGGTACAAGCATGTATGACATCAATCATGGGTGCCACTTCATTAGATGCCTCGGTCGCTCTCCTTGCCGAGCCCCTCTATTGATGAATTCTCCCAATGTCTATTTCAAACCAGTTGTTCGAGGAAGGATTTATACACCCTACAATCTTATGTCAAATGTCCGATATCCTTATGATAAGAACACCGGGATATTGAATCCCTCATCGACGGGTCTCCTTGTATCCTGGGGGGCCATTTAAAGTGGGGCTTGTCTTTTATCTTATTTAGCATCTTGTAAATGGGCTCTTTAAAGACCGTATTCAACCCCTAGAAAGATAAGTGATTCAGGGGTGGGACGAGTGCCCCCCTCCGAGCTGGTGGTTCCCTCTCCCTCTTCCTTGGCATGGGGGCCCTATTCTCAGACGTGCTAGATTCTTCCTCCACCCGGGCGTATTTGTTTATCCGGGTCATCAAGTCTTTCATATCCCCTGGAGCCCTCTTAGTAAGTAATTTGTAGAGATCGGTATCCCAGGTCAACCTCAGCCTAAATGATGTTGTGGCCATGGTCTATGAGCACGCCTTGACTTCATTAATCTCCTCCCAATACCGGATGACATACTGCCGAAGGGACACTACACCTTTTCGTCGAAGCGTTAGTAAAGCGCCGATATCCTTCGGCTTCTTACTAGTGGTGATGAATCGAGTTGTAAAAAGTTCGGTCAGCTATTTCCTTGAGCTGATGCTCTCGAGGGCCAAGCTATCATATNCTTACTAGTGGTGATGAATCGAGTTGTAAAAAGTTCGGTCAGCTATTTCCTTGAGCTGATGCTCTCGAGGGCCAAGCTATCATATCATTTCATGGTTGTGTCCCCCAAGCTCATGGGAAAAACTCGGCATAGCACCCTCTGATCGGTGTCGTAGATGAACATCAACTGTTTGTACTGTCGCAAGTGTCCCTTGGGGTCTGTCCTTCCATCGTAGACTTTGAACCGTGGGACAGTGAACTTTTTTGCCATTTCGGTCTCCCTGAAATCTCGAATGAATGGGGAAATGATTTCCTTGTCTGCATCTCCCTTGGGCTCGAGCTTGCGAAGTGCGTCATGGAGGCGTACTCGGGGCCTCCCTTCTCTTGACCCCCTGGCCGTGGATTCCGCTTGGGATTCAGCTGCCTTAATGTCCCCTAGTATCCCACGGCGGAGGTCTCACCGAGATAGACTCGCCTTTATGGCCCCNTTCATTTTGTAACCCTTGTCTCTTGAAGCACCCTATTCCTAGGTCACTACATCAATACCTCGAGAGCAATGATGATAAGTCCGCCTCCGCCTCTGTCCAAGTGATGAATTGCGAGCTTAGTCTACGAACCAACATCTCCGAAACGAGGATAGGATTTCCTGCCACTTAGTATCGCCAAAATATAATCAGCCGCGGCCCAATGTAATTTGGGGCTTAGGCGAAACTATTATACGAGACTCTATAAATATTTATTTAATAATAATAATAATATTAAATATTTATTAAAATATATTTATTTATAAATTATTTGTTTTGTCTTTTGAAATATAACATAGTTATTTAAATATTTAATTCAAATAAAAATTGTGTTAATCGAAGTCGATTACAAAGATCAAATACAATAATATATATTATTTGTTTAAGATAAAAGAGAAATATAATTGAAATAAAGGTTGACTAGTAAAATTATTTTTTTTATAAATGTATATAAAAATAGGAATTTATACAAGTTGAATAGTCTTAAAATAAATGCGATATTATTAAATATCATAGAGAAAAAAAACAATTTTTAAATAAAAATTTTTAGTAAGACAGCTATGGTTAATTAATTTAAGATAGTTAGTGTATTACTTCTACTCACTCTATTTTATAGTCATCTTGTGTATAGTAAACAAAGTTCTCAAAAAATAACCTTAAATTTAACTTATACAAATATAAAATTATTATTCGTACCTATTATATGATAGACAATTGATTTTCGTAATAAGACTGCAAAATAATAATACATATAATATAAATATCGGGTGAAATAAAAAAATAAATTAAATTTTAGGGCCCTAAATTTTTTTAAAAGAGGTTCTAAAAACTTTACAATAATGCTAATTACACTTAATTTAAGGACTAAGTACATTAAATAAATAGTAAATCTTGTTTAAACTTAGCACTCACTATTAATTCAATAATTAAAATATATTAAATATTTAAATTATATTCTAAAATAATCATTATTTATTTTATTTTGGGGTCCCAAATTTTTTTTCCAAATTAGGGCCCTAGGCAACGGGCTAAGTGGCCTAAAGTTTGGGCAGACACTGAATGTAATACAACTTGTTAACACCATAAAAACAGTNTATATTAAATATTTAAATTATATTCTAAAATAATCATTATTTATTTTATTTTGGGGTGCCAAATTTTTTTTCCAAATTAGGGCCCTAGGCAACGGGCTAAGTGGCCTAAAGTTTGGGCAGACACTGAATGTAATACAACGTGTTAACACCATAAAAACAGTACACAAAATTAAAAAGTTTAAATATTTCCTTAATTCACCCGTTTCATAAACTGTCAACTATATCACCTATCTTATACTACTACCCCATTAACTGTCAAATTTCCTCACATGTACCTCAAAATGTAGTAACTAGTTCTGTGGTGTTCCCAATTAGATACATCTTAGATGAAAAACTGTGTCACTTTGGTCCCGAACTAGGTGAATTTGTTTTAATGTGCCACAAAATCCANCATAAACTGTCAACTATATCACCTATCTTATACTACTACCCCATTAACTGTCAAATTACCTCACATGTACCTCAAAATGTAGTAACTAGTTCTGTGGTGTCCCCAATTAGATACATCTTAGATGAAAAACTGTCACTTTGGTCCCGAACTAGGTGAATTTGTTTTAATGTGCCACAAAATCCAATGTCGCGGTAATATATCACAGCTAATACAGTTTTTTATGTCACAAACACCACCAATATGCTTCAAGTAACCCTCCCACGAATTTTTTTTTTTACCCCAAAAACTTCCAAAATGTGTAACCCAAATGGAGAAGTCAGGCTTAGTATCTCTAGGATAAACATTTGCTCATTCTTCTCATCTGCCTGTCCTCGATGGAATCTGCAGCATTTTTCATTCATGAAATTGACCCAAAAATATTTTCTCATACTTCTCATCTGCCTACCCTCAATGGAATGCTCACAAACATGAAATGCAAAACTCAAAGTCAAAGACCTGCTCAACAGTAGCCAGACGATCTTCATTTTTCTGGATTAAAAACCACTTCTTCCTATACAAGGCTAATGTTCAAGTTGAAACATGGATAACAAAAGTTGCAATTCATGGCAGAGAGAGTACTGCTACATGATACTATGAGATTGAGATCAAGTTCATGAACCATTAGATATCGAACTCTTCAATGAGCAAAACTGCCTGGAAAAAGAAGGCCACATCATAATAGGGGGGCAACAAGATCTAGATAGCCTAAAGAAGAAATTTTCCTGCGGCAAAACTACACATCTTAAATCTCATGAAACCAGAGCCCAAGCCAGCAGTTTATTTTGCACAAGCAATTGAACACTAAGATATATGCTCTGATTGTTCAATTGAACACTAGACTCTTACCGCGTAGGCTGCTGGTTGTAATGGCTCTTCTCTTTCTTCTTTGCTGCAGCAAGTCTAGCATTCCTTGTGGCAGCCTCTACAGCGGCAGCTCTGGCAGCAGCATCCAACTCCTTATTGGTTTTTTTCTTCTTGCCAGATGCCATCTTCTTTAGCCGCTCTTTGACGTCAACTGCAGACGCGTCTTCTTCCCCCCGCTCAGTTCCAGCTGTTTCTTCTGGTCCATTGGTGACATCAGTACCGTTGGCCGGATCCTGGGGTTCTTTTGCCTCCTTGGAAGATTTATCCTTCTTCTTCTTCTTCTTAGCACTTTTGGACTCTGCAGGAGCATCTTCCTTCCTTTCTGCATCTCCAATTGGCTGTCCTCCTTTCTTCTCTTTTGCAGCACCTGCAAATCCAATGCAAGCAAAGGAAACAGATATTCATAAGGTGGTAATGTAAATAGAAAAAAAGAAAATATTTGTTTCCGAGTCAGAGAGAACACGGGAAATGCTTGCTGCAGAAGAGGGGATCACATAATTACCAGATGATTCATCTTCAGCACTGGTATCTTTCTGGGAGACTCCAAAATTAGCCAAAATGGCATCCAGTTCTGCAAGCTCCTTTTTCTTTCTTTCTTTCTTTGAAAGCTGTCTTTCTGTCTCTTTAGGTGCATTAGAAACTTCAACAGGCTTCTTCACTACTGGCTCAGGTTGTTCTGGAGCCTCTGGTTCATCATCATGCTCTTCCTCTACATCGTCATCACCTTCATCAAGAAGATCTTCTTCACTTTCACTTTCCTAAATTCCAGATAGGCAAGCATGTCAGTTTCCACTATCATGAACAGGGATACATTTCATTCCATCTCAATAATTCTATCAACCTTTCTCAAAGATGCTAGATGTCACAACAAAGTGGAAAATGGAATCACATGAGGTGTCACAACCCCAGTCACCACCCACACACGAAACCATATGGCAACAGAATGTGTAACACTTAACGGCCAAATGATATGATGTTTCACCACTCTAACTAGCAGCAATCATTTTTAGCCTATTTAAAGATGCATACAAAACCCTTTAACTACCACAACGATATTCTTATTCTTAGTCAAATGACATTGGAACATAATCCTTCAAGAAAACTTAGACCCAAAACCAAAGTCTTTGCTAGCACCAACTTTTTGGCATTCCAACTGTTTTTGGACTTTTTGTACATTTCTTTCCATTCATTATGAAATTTGTATTCATGATTACAAATCTGTACGTACTGTAATTTCACCATGCATATTATTTTTTTGAAAACTTACAATACTTGATTGAACCCTTAAATTCCCGTCCAGAACAATACAGGATCTGGATTGTGGATTCTGGATTCTGGAAGTTCTGACAACCTTCTAAGAATCTAAAGAAATCCAGGAAAAAAACTTGGAAGCAAGTCCTCCTTATTGGTAAATGTAATGCACAAAATTGCCATGCAAATACTAAGGATGTAGACACTATTTTTCCACATTCCTACAGATCGAATGATACCACAAACTGATGTTGTTGTTCTTCTCCTTGCTGCTGAGACTGCTGTTGTTACAGTATAGACCAATAATGATGAGAAACACAACCACGAATGCAACTTTACAAAGCCACTTGCCACATATTGCATGGGAACCGCCAAGAAGAAACAATGCAAAGCCAAGGCAGCAAAATTAACCCAAAACATTAATATTGTAGCATATTGCGTATTGGAATGAACATTCCAAAACATGGTACATTCGCCCTAGAATTGTAAATGGCAACCTAACAATTTTAACGTAAATTTTCCCAAGATGACAAATTTTCTAGTAAATGGAAAGCTAGTCATTATATTTAGGTTGTATTATTAGTCATCTACTTTTCCAGATGAAGAACTCTTATACTTGGAAATGCTTCAACAAATTATGAGCCTAACCAAGCATAATACGATTTAGACAATGTGACAATTGGTGAACCCGCTCCCATTCGTGTCCCAAGGATCTTTCCAAGGAAGTGAAGATTTCCAACACATCAAAGTTACTACGCCAATCTACACAATTTGCTACATAATAAACACATTGGATCATTGCCCATCCCTCACCCTTTATAACCATGGATTGAAGCAATGAAATTACATCCTCATAGGCAAAATCAATTACCATTGCAGCATCACGCCAACAAGGAATGCCATCAACAGCCATTTCACACTTTAAACAATCACCACTATCAGTTGTTTGCATAAATTCCATTACTCCCTAGGCAAGCTTGCATCCACATAAAACAAAAAGAACATACAAGTATACCCACAGTTTTTGACACTAAGAGTAAGAGTAATGTATTATAAGAAATGTTAAAGCTCATTTAAGATGTCTGGACCAAATTATGCACTGTAGTATAAAAAACTATACAACTTTCTATGTATAATTTTTTGGAAACCACCCGTGTTTACTAGAGTTCCACCTTCATTAATGAGACTTAAGAAAAATTAAACCATTTATAGCTTCCTAGATTGTGCCATATAAGTCTCATGGCATAATACGATCATGAATACACTAAGGATTTGTTTGGTTACCATATTGTTTAAAAAAAAAAAAAAATTATATTAGATAATACAAGTTAATTTTGTATAAGCGAAAAAAATATAAAATTAAATATGGAACAAAAATACTATCCATTGTAATCTATTGTTTGGTAAAATACTAGATAAAAGTAGGACAATAGAATACTAATTATATATTGATAAAAAAATTATCAATCTAGTCTAGTTATTATGTTTTTCTTTATTTGGCAAAATAAAAAATTTACACCTAATATGCATGAACTAGATTATAATACTACTCAAGATGCCATTATAATTAACTCAATAGTACGGATAGAGTGTATTATCCGTATACGTATACAAAATAAACCTATATATGTATTATGTATATATATAATATGAAGTTTTTTGACAACCAAATATAGTATAAGGATAGATTAAAGAGTTTTAATGTGTTATAATTTTATAATTCACCCCTTAAAACTGCAACTAAACGATCCATAAAGATACATGAACCTCATCGTCAACTAGTAAATGTTGACAGTAACGGTGACCCTATGTCATCACCATCCAATAAAAATACAAATGGGTCAAGTGAACTAACTCCACTAAATCCCACTACTTCTTTACTATTTAATGGAGGGATAATTACTAAATTAAGTGTGGGATTGCTGATTGATGACATGGTATTACCCTTACAGTCATTAGTTTCTCCTCATCCAAGATAATCTGGTCAGATAAACACACATACATTAAAAACCAACTTGTATTCTGACCTCTACAGGGGCTGGCTTCTCCTGGGCCTGCTCAGATTGCGACAAACCCCAAACAGACTGAGGCGGAGCCGTGGTGGCATAGTAGTCATCGTCATCGTCTTCATCCACATCGGCCCAGGATTTCACCGCCAGCGGCGTTGGTGCCCAGAACACTTGCGGCGCCGGCTCAGCCTTCGAAGACCCCTTGCTACTCTTCGACGACCCCTTTTCTTTATCGGACTTCTTCTTCTTCCTTAGACTCTCGAGCGCAGCGAACACGTTGGTATTTTTGATCACTTCGTCTCTCCTGTTCCCACCTCCTACCATTTTCTCACCCAATCCACAAAAACACCACAGGGACGTAAATGAACAGAGATCAATAAATGAAATTTCGTTCAAACCAAATGAAAATTGTCTTCAAACTTGATAAAGGTTTCAGAGACTAAAATCAAAGAGAGATTATACTCGTATCTCCGCAAGAAATATTCAGAGAAATTCAGGTGAAATAGAGGTCCGATACCACTTTGGAGTATTCGACAAATTGTTAGGGCGTACGCTGGATATGAACAAAAAACTAGGGATTCGAAGAGAAAATAGGGAAGGAAATGCTAGGGTTTGATGTGGATGAAGAGAGATGTAGAGATGCAGATATGCATATATGACTCGATCGAGAGAGAGAGACTCGATCGAGAGAGAGAAGGCGGTGATATGCAGATAACGTAAAGGAAAGAAGAAGAAAGTGAGGCTTATATAGTTGGGGAATTTTTTGCTTTTTAGCTGATAGAGAATCACACTTTGTACCTTAAAATATTTTAAAATTTTTAACTTTTACTTTTAAAGTTTAATATTTTTAAATTATACCCTCAATGTTATAAAATAATTGCAATGTGACATTCTCAACAATTTCTGTAGATGTTTTCATCAAAGTATAACAAGATTTGACAAAAATAACTATGGAAATTAGTATGAAGGTCAAATTATAATTATTTGATAATGTCGAGGGTATAATTTAATAAAGCTGATTTTTAAGATTATAAATAAAAAAATTTCAAACTCGTTTATCAAATTGCATAGTTTCTCAAATTGTGCTGATTAGACGCCATAGTTTCTCAAATTGCATTTTAGTACGCTATCTTTTGAAATTTACAACAAAAGACTACAAAATCCAAAGTTATATTTTGGATTAATAGCACTTTTAGTTCTAAAATATATATATATTTTTTATCAATTTAGTCCTTATTATATTAATTTTATTAATTTAATCCTTAAAATATTCAATTTGTGTCATTTTTTGTCTTTACGTATATTGACCATTAAATTTTTAATAAAATGATCACGTATTGAACATATGATTTCGTCTGAAAAAATAACACGCGATCTCAATACCTTAAAAGAGATACTCTCCGTGTCGAACCACTTGGCCAGAGAATGAAATTTCCCAAGAAAAAGATGTCATATTTCTCATTGCGACATCCAGTACAAAGTTTGATAAAGTTAAAAAAACACTATTGGGTTAAACAAGTGTCCAACCCCTAATGTTCCGTTTAGTACGCTAAAAAAGTAGGAGGATAAAAAATTAAAGAAATAAATAAAACATCATATTTGGTAAAAAAAAAAAAATAGGAAAGATGGAAAGGTGAATGGATTAATTTTTCTTCCAACTCACCAAAATCAATCCCTCCAAAATTAGAAGAAAAGTGGATGAAAAATTAATTATTTGTGTTGAGATGTATTTTATTTGTCTATATATCTTATGTATACATTAATTTTATATACAAATACAATGGTAAAATATGTATATATATTTTAAAAAATTTTAAAAATAAATTTTAAAAATTTTAAAAAAATAAATTAAAAAATATTTTAAATTAAAAAAAATATTTTTTTCATCTTAACTAAGGTTCAAAATTTGAAAATTTTCAACTCAACACGAAGACACGACTCGAACTCGATACAAAAATAAAATGATCAACTCGCAATTTGACATAACACAATTAGTTAAATGAGTTAAGTTAAATTTGACTAATATTCTACACAAACTCGTAATGACTCAATACGAATCTGACACAACACGATTTGATTGTCACCCCTTTTCTTAGCCAGCACAAAAAAAAAAAATCATTTTTATTTTCCATCCAACCAAACACAAAGAAAGAAAAATGTATCCTTCCTACTTTCCATTCTTGAAGGATAGAAAGTGTATCTCTCCTACTTTCCATCCTCTTTACCAAACGAAACATAAAAGATATGACTAATAGTAAGGATCATCATGTTGTAATTAGGGATGCATTCAGACGAGTTGGACAGTTAATCCTAGGTATGTAATCTTCAACCCTAATCCTAACCTTAACCCTAACTCTACCTCAGGTTGAGAAACTCAACCTGAGCATTGCCCGAGTTTAATTCAGGCAGACTCAGGTTGAATTAAGGTTAACTCGGGTTGCACCCCTAATTGTAATGGATGGAACACTATACTCAGTGTGTGGAGAATCAAATTCCACGTGTAAAACGTATGTCGCATTTACCAATGTGATATCTCAGTATGAAGTTAAGATAGGACAAAGATAAAAAGTTTTATTGGATTAAACTACACATATCACATGTTACAAGGATTTCATTATACAAGCAGTTTCCATTATGTAAAATGATTTCATAGACAAAATTACATTTATGCGAAGCATATCACAAATGATAATCTGGACAATGAGCAGTAATTTCACGCATATTGGTATATGAAGCATACATTGACCATAATCTTTCTACGAAATGTTGTGTCTTCGTCTCGTTCGCTATGCCACAAAAAAGAGAAAGCTCGTGAGGAAGAAAATCAGAACGAAGATGATCTTAATCATCAGCCACCTATTTGATGAGATGCAATTGAGATACTTGAGCAGAGCCCCTTGTGCCCCCTTCACATTGGCCATCGTGTCATCCATGTTCTCATCAATCCTGCACAAACCAGAGTATGCTTAATTGATTGAGATAAACAAAACAAAAAATAAATAAAAGCGTTGTTTAACACATTTATATTGAATATAATTAATTTTAATTTTATTTATTTAATTAATTAACTCAAACTAACATGTCTTACACATCTTGAATCAAAAGTTCAAGACTAATTTTTTTTTATCTCTTAAAAAAATTCAACGCTAATATATTCTTATAAATTAATAATTTTGTAATAACTTGTACTAATTAAAAAAATAATATTTTTATAAATGATATCTGTAGATCTTTTTTTGATAGAAAATATTTTGACGAAATGCTGTTCGATAAATTACATTTTTAATTTGTATTAGATTTGACTCGATTTTGATTACATGTATATAAATTAATGTTTTTTAAAGTCAATTCTATCATATTTCATGGATTTATTTATAATATCTATAATATAAAATAGGGCGGTTGCAACAAACCCATCTGACGGTCTCAAATAAACTCATCCAACAACAATCAACATCTCTCTCATAACCATTCAGATTAAATTTTACTTTCATCTTCTCACTTTTCACACTCTCTCTAGCAATGGTGGGGGGAGGAAGGGTCTGTGGCCACCGTGATTTTATTTTTAATTATATATATTTTTTATATTTTTTTGGATTAATTGGTCCCACTATAATAATTTTTGAAAACGAGCAATACTATTGAGACATAATTTAAAGATATAATTTTGGGACTTAATGATTGTGATAATTAGATTATCAATGGGTCTTAACATTAAATTACCACTAGGTCCTAACATTATTAATCCAATGGTCATAATATATTAAAATTTTAAATTATGTCCCAATAGCATTAATTGGGTCAAACAAGATGGATACTAGAACCAAAAAACAGAAACAAAAAGTTCATACCAAATCTCTTAAAATTAGCAAACTAAATTGATTCTTTAGAATATTAGTATGATTTGTTGAAACCTCCTTTGGTTCAAAAATTATGGAATATATAGCAAAAAATTAATAAAATATGGAATTTGTTAGAAGATTAAAAATTATAGAATATTACTTTTATTTGTATCAAATAAATTATATAATTGATCCCTTTTATGTATAGATGTTATCTTATTAATTTTTTTTCAAACAAACTCCTTTTATGTTTAATGAATTTTTAAGTATTAAATTAGATATAAAAAATTTAAATATATCACATTATTTTTATCTATTATACTTAAAGTGCCTCTATCTTAGATCGTATTTTTGGCTTCGTCACTGTTCTCAGGGATCTTCACTGTTCACTTCTCCGAATTAATCGGTTGGTTTACGTTGCACGGTACCTTTAGGTACAAGTTACCAAAGTTTGGCTGAAGGCTTTGCTCACAGCATGCTCATCATGTTTATTTCCAGTCAGAACTAAAAGTTATGTTGTTGGAAAAGTGAAACCTTATAGCAATCTCCCTTTGCTGAGAAACCAAGGTTGCCAGCTAATTGAAAATATTGCTCAGCTCGTGAATTGTTGACTCTACGTTTTGAAGGGCAGTAGCTCTACTCTGCATGTAGCTGTCTTGCAATGGCTGACTTTCCCTATCCATCTGCTTCCTGTTGGAAGTAATAGTAAAACATAAGTTCTCAGCAACTCAATAACTTCAAATTGATCGTCTACGCATTCTTCATTTATAGTTTCAAGATTGATCATGCCAAAACTCAGCTGATAGAACAACCATTCAAATATTCTCAACAAATCAATAACTTAAATTTTGCTAGCTGCACATTCTTCATTTATTATTTCAACATTGATCATGCTGAGAAATGAAAATGCATAGAGATTGTCACACGTCAACCTAACAATCATGCAAAAATACTGAGCAATTCAATGATTTACGGTTTGCCAACTTCAAGAGTTTCCGCGAGGTTTGATGAATCCCAAACCCTACTTTCGAAGCCCTCCAGTTAAACTCTGACTGCGCAGCAATCATAGACTTCTGATCCTCTAATTTTGAATCACCCACTAATACTCGGCCCATTCTGTGCAACAGACTTCCTCAACCTCCCCGCTACACTCAGAAACTCTTATGTTTGATCCCGAATTAATAGTGATACACTTTTTATCCTTAAAACAATGAATCTTTCATTTTCTCCTATCAATCTCTAATGATTGTCATGTTATAGTGTGTGGACTAGCAAGAAAGGATGTTCAGCGAGCATTTGGAATGCTCTAAGCACGATTTGTTATAGTGCGTGAACCAGCACATTTATGGACACTTGAAGTGGTTAAGGATATTATGAAATCATGCATAATATTACATAATATAATTTTCAAGGATGAGTGGAATGCTAATGAATTGAACTTTAGTTATAATACAATGGATGAGAGTCCCACTGCCACAATCATACCTAAGTGGAGTTCAGAACCGCTACAATTTATTAATACTCAACATTGCATTAGAGACAAAGAAACTCATTCCAAACTCCAAGCTAATTTAGTCGAGCATCAGTGGAATATGCATGAAAACTATTAGGCATTACTTAAGCAAATGTTATTACAGTACTTGCAGCATCATTACTACTACTTAAAGTTGTTTTTCTATTAATAAAATAGAACTACATCTTCTTTCCCAAGATTTTCATTTAGTGGCGCTGAAAATATTCAGCTTGCAACGGAGGCATACAACTTGTGTCCATTGACATTATTCGTTCTTCTTCTCTTGCTTGCTCCATTTGCATTATCTCTTTCTCTTGCAGTAAATGTTGTTGTTCTTGAA